TGAACAAATGCTGTTTTACCTCATACTCTCTAGAGATCCTTCCCTTCTCATTAGCTTCACTTTCAGCAAATGTACCTACTTCCCATTTTATAACAGTATAAATCTGAACTCTTTCAAATTCCCCTCCTAAGTGTTTCTGCATTCATATGCATTTTCTCTGCATTCTTTCTCCCATTCCTAGTTTCCAAAGATGTGCCCATTTCTTCTTGACTGAGGTAGTGTTCTTTATTGTATATGCTCCCACATCTTCCTAGACTTTGCTCTAACAACTAACCTTTTTTCCTTCAATACTGAGTGCTGGCTAGGTACTACTGCCTGGAAAATTGAACCTAGTAGGAAAATTTAACTTTTAATTTAAAAGTATGAAATATTAAATATGAAAAACTGCATAGAATATAAATGTATAGTTTAACAAATATTTATATAGCCAATAGCTGGGAAAGTACCATTCAGGTCAAGAAATGGATCTCTGTTAACACCCCAGAAGTGCTACATGTGTCTCTTCCCAGTCCAACCCTCTCCCCTGCTCCTTAGAGGAAACTACTCTTCTGACTTTTATAATACAAACTCTTGTTTTTCTTTACATGTTTACTAACTTAAACTGGTCCCCTAAATATGCACTCCTAGTAATAATTTGTTTTTTGAATTTTAATTTTAACTTACAATAGAATAATATTGCATACATTTGTTTTTGCCTTGTCTTTTAAGATTTAGTTATGTTGTGTCTGCAGCCATAGCTCATTCATTTTTGATGTTACATAGTATTTAATGAATAAAAATACCATTCTTGTGTTGATGGACATTTTTGGGTTATTTCCAGTTTTCACTGCTATGAACATTCTCATTCATATATTCTAGTACACATGTACACAAGTTTCTCCACTGTATGTACCTAGGAATGTAATTGCTGGGTCAGAGGGTATATGTATTACCAAAACTACTAAAAATGCAAAACTGTTTCTGAAAGTGGTTATACCAACATTTACTCCAACTAACATGTATGAGTGTTGCTTTTGTGTCACATACTCAGCAACACATGATACAGTCAGACTTCAAAATTTTTGTCAACCTATGTGGTTTTTAATACATATTTCCCTGATTACAGGCTCAACACTGTATACTATGTTCACTGGCCATTTGATGTCCTCCTATACTGTTCAAATCTACTCTTTCATTCGATTGTCTGTCATTTGCTTATTTACTTGTTCCTTTTATAACTTTAAAATTTTTAAAATTGAAATATAACACATACATAAAGTGCTCAAAACAAATACAGTTTGATGATTATCACAAAACAAATATCTCTGCAGTTTTTGACTCTGCAGGTCAAAAAATT